GGATCTATTTTAGTTCATCAGTTTATGTTGATCATTATATCCCACATGTGAGTGAGATCATGTGATATTTATCTTTCTTCCGACCGGCTCATTTCGCTTAGCATCATGCTCCCCAGGTCCATCCATGCTGTTCAAATGGTTAAGCGTTCCTTTCTTTGTTACAAGGGCAGTGCAGCCCAGCTCGGGGTCAGTGGCTTGAATTTGAATATGGGCTCAACCTCCTCACGCCTCCCTTTGCTAACAACCCCATGACCCTGGGCAAGCTATTCTCCTCCGCTGGCCCTGTTTCCTCATCTTACAAGATGGGGGGAAAGAGAGCGCCTGCCTGGTAGGGCCGCTTGAAGAATAAATTGGTTCCACACGACAGGGGTGAGAATGGTGCCCGGCACCCAGCAGGTGCTCCGTCAATGCCAGGGGCACATCAGCACCTGGAGATCCCTCAGTGCCCAGTCAACCCTAGGACGTGGGTGGTACTGCTGTGCTCATTTACATAGAGATGACGGAACCTGAGAGTTAGAACTGGCCCCAGATCACACACACCACACGGCAAATGGCCCTAGGCTTCGGATCCAGCTGATTGGCTTTGGGCGAGGGGAGAGGTGACCGTGGTCCAGGCAGGGGAAGCAGGGTCAGTGGTGCATCCGCAGAGGGTGGGAGTGGGGGGGCTGGAGGGGCCTGCCCTGGGGGCGCTGAGCTTTATTCTGGGGTGCTGGGAATCGGGAGGCGACATCCCTGCTGCACATCAGCCCAGGGGGTGCTGGTTGCTGTGAGATTTGCTCCCGGGGGGGGGGGAAAGTGAATATCACACAGATCTGGTAAACATTAAAAAGATAATAAGTAGCCCCAGCCGGTTTGGCTCAGTGGATAGAGCATCAGCCCGCGGACAGAAGGGTCTGGGGTTCGATTCCAGTCAAGGGCACAGACCTTGGTTCCAGGTCCCCGGCCCTGGTCGGGGTGCATGCAGGAGGCAACCAATCAATGTGTCTCTCTCACATTGCTGTTTCTGTCTGTCTCTCTCCCCCTTCCACTCTCTCTGAAAATCAATGGGAAAAAATATCCTCAGGTGAGAATTAACAACAACAAAAAAGGTAAATAAATATTGTGGACAACTTTATACCAATAGTTTCAACAATTTACAAGAAATAGACCAATTCCTTGAAAGACACCAAACTAAGAAAAAAATAGGAAATCTGGATGGTCATATAGCAATTAAAGAAATTGAATGTATAATTAAGATAAAATAACACTTCTCCAAAAAAATGCCAGGCCCAATGGCTTCACCAGTGAATTCTATCCAACATTAAAGGAAAAATTAACACCACTCTCATACCAGCTCTTTCAGAAAGTGGAAAGGGAACTTTCCCTAACTCATCTTATGAGACTGATTAAACTGTACCAAAACCAGACAAAGATCTTATAAGAAAAGAATAAAGATAGAAACAAAAATTCTTAATGAAAGATGAGCTGATATATGCACCCCTATGTTCATATCAGCACAATTCACCATAGCTAAGATCTGGAAACAGCCTAAGTGCCCATCAGTAGATGAATGGATTAGAAAACTGTGGTACATCTACACGATGGAATACTATGCTGCTGTAAAAAAGAAGGAATTCTTACCATTTGCAACAGCATGGATGGAACTGGAGAGCATTATGCTAAGTGAAATAAGCCAGTCAATGAAGGAAAAATACCACATGATCTCACTCATTCATGGATAATAAAGACCATTATAAACGTATGAACAAAAATAGATACAGAGGCAGAGCTGCCTTAGAACAGACTGTCAAACTATAGCGGGAAGGCCGGGAGGGTTGGGGGGCAGGAGGAGGCGGGGGGTAAGAGATCAACCAAAGGACTTGTATGCATGCATATGAGCATAACCAATGGACATAAGACACTGGGGGGTAGGGGAGGCCAGGGGATTGTCCGATTAAACTGATACCAAAACCAGACAAAGATCTTATAAGAAAAGAATAAAGATAGAAACAAAAATTCTTAATGAAAGATGAGCAAATTGTATCCATGTATCCAGGGGCAAATTGTATCATGACCAGGATTTCAGGGTTGGTTTAACACTTGACTGTTTACCAATGTATTTCATCATATTGATATATATCTTTCAACTTCTTTTCTCATTGAGCATCATGAAGGTTTTTGTGCATGGCTTTTGGTAGCATGCTTTTAAATGTCTTAAACTATGTCTGTATTTGAAATTAAACTTTTTAAAATAAAGTTATTTTTGCCCATCCAGTGTGGCTCAGTGGTTGAACATTGACCTGTGAACCAAGAGATCATGGTTCAATTCCCGGTCAGGGCACATGTCTGGGTTGTGGGCTCGATCCCCAGTGTGGGGCATGCAGGAGGCAGCCGATCAATGATTCTCTCTCTCCCTCTCCCTACCTCTCTGAAATTAATAAAAATGTATTTTATAAGTTATTTTTATCATCTTGCTAGAGGCACTATAACAGTTCAGCTTGTCTCCTGATCTGCACCCTAAGTTGTTTTTATCCCTCTTTGTGCCACCAGCCACCCTCCATGCAATGAATCACCCCACATATCACCTGCGTGTGTAACAGCACCACCACTTATTGAGCAATTGCTGTGGGCCAGGCCTGGGCTAGATAACTCATAGACACCGTGTCAGTCCCATTCTCACAACCCCCGTAAGAAAGGCAGCATCCCTATGTTATAGACAAGGAAACGGAGGCCCAGACCGATACAGTCACAGGTCCGGGTCCCAGAGCCATCTGGTGGCAGAGCCCAGATTTGAGCCCAGTTCTGCTAACTCCCAAGTGGATGGTCTGATGGCCACTCTTTCTAAATACCTGCAGAGCAGACACCATCCACACACATTACAGACCCCTTAATGCCCCTGTGTCCATCTCCCCGTCTCTAAAACGGGGACTAATAAGGGTCCTACCCCTGTGAGATCTAATGGGGTAATAACTGGGAAGTGCATAGAAAAGCACACGGCCCATGGCAAACACGGTTAAGTATCCTTTGACCCTTATTTGCTAATAATCGATCAATATTTAATTTGCATCACAGCCCTGAGAGAGAGGTTAGTTATCTTCTCGCCTCACCAACGAAGGCACTGAGGCTGAGAGGTGAACTAACCGAACGTGTGTGCGCCAAACGGGTCCCACAGCAAAGTCCCCCTCCCTGCCCCCGTCACACAGCTCTGCCCTTAGGAGCCCGCCAACGTGGGTGATCAGAAAGAAGCCATTCCCTTTGGGTCCTCGGGAAACCAGCCCCAATATGTGTGCCTCTGGAACGTTTCTCCCGTCGTCCCCAGGGCCAAGTTTCACACACCCAACCTCGGGCAGGGGAGGCCCATCCCCATGGAAACCACTCTGTTTCCTACCTTGACCGACTCGGGGCTCGTGACGATGACCGAGGTTTTGTGGAAGACATTGACCCGCACCACAGGCCCGTACTTCTTAGCCCTGGAAACCAAAGTGACCCAAAGGAGGCTGTCAACGCCCGGAGACGTGAGTATCACCCGCCCCGGCCCAGCAGGAGAAACGGGGTGTCCCCTCCCAGGAGGGGGCTCACCACGGGCTTGGGGCCCAGGCTCTGTCCTGGGGCTGACTGACTACTGAGTCACATCTCCCAGCGGGCCTCAGTTTCCACATCCATGAAATGGGGTTGCTACGCTCCTCCTTTGCCCCACAGGTTGGACTGGGAATCAAGCAAGCTCAGGTCTCTGAAAATGCTTCGAGAAGTAAAAAGCACCACCCCACACAAGGACTCGTATCCAGTCACGCCCCACACCCAGGTTACAGATGAGGAAACTGAGGCTCGGAGAGGTTCTGATGGCTGGTCTAAGGTCACGGGATCGCCTTCCCAACGAGCCTGCCGTGCCTCTCCGCTCAGGGAGGACCTGCTGGCGGTGGGAGTGGCCTGGGCAGGGGAGCAGGGAGTGTGTGTGCTTCTGGGCTGGCCCTGTGGGGCCTGGCCTGGCATAAGGGCAATGTTTTTTCTTTAGGACCCACCAGTCCAAAAACACA